AGAGTGTTCCTGCATTTGGCTTACCGCCGCATGCAAGTGCAATGAACAGCTGCAGGATGGCCTAACGCTGGGAAAGTTCGCAGATGCTAATGGCTGGAAAGGTACACCAACCGCTGCGGTTCTGTCCAGAGGAAATGTTGAAATATTCAACCTGGCATTGCAGTAACACTGCAGGACTTGGTGGCCCACTCGTGTGGTTGGCCGATTCTGTTACTCAAACCTGTTTGAGAGATAAGCGCAGTAAATGGAAGTGGATTCACCGAAAAGTAAATGGAGCCATCTTCCACTCTTCTTAATTTAACAACGCCTCATCGACTGCGTACGTTATATGACGTCGAACTGGAATGTGTGAGATTGCAGGTTCTTACGTCGGTGAGTATGAAGATGGCTGTCTTCTGGGTTGATACGCCGTGTAGTCTGATAGGAGTTTACCGACGTTTCAGAAGTACTTGTTGGGGATTAAAAATTTGTATCAGCATTAACTGCAGACTTACTTAAGTGTAGACTTAAATCAGAACCAAAGAATTTAGTGAATATCTATATTTGCAGTGCTATGTACATTTAGTGGCTGTGCCAGCGGCATGGAACGGACTTTTCGCTATGCGCTATCACTACCTCGGTTGCCGCAATCTTTAGTCCTAGCGGCACAGTTGTTAAATGTCATTTTACAATTAAGAGAATTTCTTTATACTCGTTTTTAAAAGCACTGACTTGTTCTGTAGCGCAGAGGTTGTTTGCTAAAGCCAACTTGCTCTCATCTGTAGTTGTGTCGTGCAATGCAATGCCTGGAGATCACGAAACGGGCATCTCTGCTTCACGACATGACGTAGGTTACGTACAGTTCATTATGTATACAAGGAGTTGAAACAACAGACAGTATCTTCCTGTGTACACAAACTAATAACAGTTTATAATACCACGTAACAAGATTCTAGTTAATTACATCAGTCTGCATTGCATTTAGTGTTGTAGTAAATTACGAATCTTTTAACCAGGTACTTCTAATGATTCCCTCAGATCGTTAATCCACGTTTCTTATGATTTTTTAATAGCATATGTACTATAACTTTGTATTTCCGTATAGACATACGTATTTATACATAAACGTAGCTACATATAGGATCCGTAAACGTTAATAGAATATATTGTATTCAACTTAAATGAATATTATATTTACAAAATGTAAGTCTTGAAGTATATAGTTTTTATCAAGTCATTGCTGGATAATGTTCGATGTTTTACAAGTTGAAGCTTAGGCATCGCAGTTGGATGTTGTAGTTCGTTCACAGGCCTCTATAAAGTGGCGTCAATTTAACTGTCTTTTAATATGGAGCAACATTCCTTCCCGCATATATCTCATCTTACGAAATTTATTCTGTGACTCAGGAATGAACTGCCCTAAAGGGGCACTACGGAAACATTAAATACTTTTATTCATATCTTTCTTTGTTACAACTCTAGATTCATCTCGTTTCAGTTCCAGGATTTCTCCTCCTTCCCCCCCCCCCAAAAAAAAAAACGCTCGAAAGCAGAGTAAATCGTATTCCTCTTCCCCCCCTCCGGCCTCACCCTCTCCTATATTCAGCCAGTTTCATTCAATTTTGGTTCTATTACATGATTTATTTCAACTCTTCATTCGGTTTAAATTAGTTTTATATATGACTTTTTATAATTCAAATACTGATAGAATTTTTTTTTATATCGCATGGAAATCATCAAAACCGACGTTTTATTTGGGATGTAATTACTTCCAAGCGCCAAAGTCTGTTCCTTTGCTTTGTAACATATATTCAGACTCTGTATAAATAAAGATAGATTTACGAATTAAATAACAGTTTGCAGAACATATATGGAGCTAAATTTGATAGAGGTTTGTCTATGTAAATAAATTGTTTATTTCCTAAAATTAAAACCCTGGTCAAGGATTTCAAATTTCTCCCTAATTTTTTTGCTGTAGGTCTACTGTTCAGTTTGAAAATATAACCCGAAGAGGAGGCCGGGTAATTTGTTAACGACACCCCGTTACGCGAAGACGCGGAAATCAAAAATATATTTCCACTTTTGGAGAGTGGCGTTAAAAAAAGGCGCGTTTCGTGAACTCGTAACACGTTTTTCTGTTTAGCAACTAAATTTCTTTAAAAATCCACGCTTCTTTAAGCAAATAGTTTACAGAGCCTGACGTATATTTTGATAATTCCTATAGTTTGTAAACAAGACATAATTCTCTGAAGTTAATACATGAGGTGATATGCTCCAAAATGTATTTCGACCCTTATGTAACATATCACTTAGTGTAAACTAACTCACACATCTAATAGTTGTAGAGTATAAGTGTTATAAAACAGTTTCCTAAATGTAAGTTTTGAGGTTTTCACAGCGGTGAGTATGAAGATTTCTGTCTTCTGGGTTGTTGTGCTGTGTAGTCTGGTCGATGTTAACCAACGTTTCTGAGGCCATACTGCCTCCATCATCAGGGCGATGAATATGAAGATTTCTGTCTTCTGGGTTGTTGTGCTGTGTAGTCTGGTCGATGTTAACCAACGTTTCTGAGGCCATACTGCCTCCATCATCAGGGCGATGAATATGAAGATTTCTGTCTTCTGGGTTGTTGTGCTGTGTAGTCTGGTCGATGTTAACCAACGTTTCTGAGGCCATACTGCCTCCATCATCAGGGCGATGAGTATAAAGATTTCTGTCTTCTGGGTTGTTGCGCTGTGTAGTCTAGACTACACAGCGCAACAACCAAAAAGACAGAAATCTTCAGTTTCATAAATATCTGTTGAAGGATTTGGAAAATAATAGTTCCGGGCCATTTTCGGTTTTTTGTTAAGTGACCTGTAATAAGAGCCAGTGAATTAAACTTGCACATTAAGATAATATTATGGGTTTTATGATGCCCTAAAAGCCTTTTCTAGGTTATTATTGAGAACAGTCCTGGGCCGCTGCCTTCCACATCCTTCACCATTTACCATTCTCCATGTTTCTATTAACTGCTATCTGACTTGCGCAGTTGGGATGTCGCCTTTCATTGTGCTAAAACTTAGTGGTATTCGTGTGTCGGTTTTCTTGCAAGTGTTGTGTTCAAAATGTTTCGGATTCCATGCTGACCGCTGTCACTAATATATAAAAAAGTAATAATTTTTCAGTATGACGACAACCTGACGATGAAAGTTCAGCTAACTGTCGAAAAGCTGTTTATTTTTTATGTACTCCACATAATGGACAATACAGAATTTAATTTCAGTATAATGTAGGCGTTCATCTTTTATGTAAAACGTTCATGTTCTGAATAAACAGTACCTTTTAAGATGTTAACCTATTTTTACAATGTAAGCTGTGATAATCCGTGTTTTCAAATTACAAATAATGTTCTTTGCATGAGGACGCAGCGTAGGTAGCATTTTTATGATATCGAAACGCGGACTCCATAAAAGTAAACAGTGATTTCAGTATAAACAATTTCATGGGACATGAAGCGGGTAACAACATCTGAAACTGTGAAAGAATGGAAGCCACCTTCCGTATATTTTCGTCATGTCTTGATTATATCCTTCCCCGGGGTTACACAAAATGTGATATAACTTCTGGTAAAAGTCTGCGTCCACCCAGCCTCCCTCCCCCATTCTTTCTTAAGACGCAGTATGATACGAGTACATTAAGATTGGCATCAAAAGAACCTTTTCCCTGGTTCTGTAGAGTAATGCAAATGTCTGACATTTGTATTAGGTATTTCATTGGAAAGAATGTTTATTTGCGTCGCCCTGGGCTTCAGCACAAACAGAATAAAGGGTGATTCAGCACCTCTCATTGCCTGTGATGTCATGTTACGTTCTCTTGATGTTTCACAGCACTTCCATTCCTAATGCGCTCGCGTTAAGACCTTCCCAGCAGCCGGTGACACTCACTGTACTCCGTTCTTTCAGAAAATATCTGAACGTGAGTTGGTCATATAGAATTATTAAAATTCATATCTCGCGATTTTTCTCTTAGACGCAACGTTCAGACTGACTGTGGAGCCCACCTAACCTTTTATCTGGTGGTTAACGGGTTCCTCTTCTAGGGTGTAAATATGGTGGTACTTGAAGAAAATCATTCTCATCCATCTAATGCCGAGGTTAAAAAATTATGCAGTTCTATCTCCACTCCCGCCATACATCGGTAACTCGTGGTGTTTGGTTAAAACACTAGAGAAGACGTAACACCTTTACCTTACCATTGAAATAAGTTACGCATTACGTAATAAAGGTTTTGTAAAAAATACCAACACAATAAAAATACATATGTAAATATATAAAAAGCATATAAGTACTAAGTGGTGGTAAATTTATTTAAATATATTAGAAAGCAAAACAGACGGAACGAAGAGTGAAAATAAGAGAGAAAGACTGATACATCGATGAAAATGGAACGAGAGACAAAAACAAGGAAACTAAGAGAGAAAAAGAAGGACCCTACCCGATAAAGTAATTTAATGATTAGGAGTTGTTGATAAAATGATTAATGTATTGTCTGTGTAACGTACAGTTTCTTAGCAGTATTAATCAGCTGAATTTACAGCTATTGTTATAACTTTATCTTCCAGTATAAACCTAATTTTCTGCAGAAATATGATTCACCATTTCACCTAGGCAATTCACATTCTTTTATTAGATGATGGACGAATAAGATCGAGTGATATTGTAAATTCTAACAGCATCAGTTCGGAACTAATGATAGACTATTAATTATGGATAAAAGGGAGAAGAACTTGATTAAATGAATCACTATAATATATGCTATATGTATTCTTGAAATTAAGTTGGTTTACTGTTGCATTGTAACGTCAGAGTAAAATGCGATAGCTATTTGTCGAAATAAATTGTAATTCTCAGGAGACACTTCGCGAGCTGCATTTTCGAATAGATGGCTTGAGTAACTGCAGAGGCAAACTACCTTGGATAGTATTTCGTTGTCCATTTTCATGTTGGACCAAGACTAAAGGCTTTTCGTTTTCCTTTCAGGCATATCAGGAGTGAGCTGGGAAGAATGGTGGACATATGATGGCATATCAGGTAAGACATGGAACTTACATCTTAGTCTTTTCCTTGTACTGCGACTTCCATTCTTGCCTTCCTGAAGCCAATGAACCACTTGGTCCATTTTCATAAGACTCTGTTTCGGCGATATAACACCTGTTTTTAAAAAGTTATTTAATTAATGATAACAAAATAGCGGCCTTACAGTCTTGTGATGTGAAAACATCTTTAGAGACGCTTTTAAACAACAGACCGAGGTTTATAGATTTTGTGCGACGATTGATATTCATAAAATAGGGACAATAACATTTTTATTCTGGTCCTGTTTTTGTAGAATGGCACATCATATGAATTTAGCTCTTGTTCTGAACGTGATGAGTTTCAGATTTCAGGTTTTGAAGGCGGCGAGTATGAAGACGGCTGTGTTCCGGGTTGTTGCGTCAGAAGTGATTGCTGCTTCTGTCATCAGGGCAGGACTCGTCGCTCTGATGATGGAGGCAGCAGGGACCATTGAAACGTAGGTAAGCTTCTACTAGGCTACACGGCTAGATAATCCAGAAAACTGCCATCTTCTTGTTGAGTTTTCTTTATCCAGGTGCCACATTTAACTGCCCTCTCAATCTTTAAAGGGAAACTTATTCTTCGTAAATTATTGTTTTTACATTTCTTTTTACCTCGTGTAAATTCTATAACGCGAAGGAATTATTTGAAGATTTACATCTCATATCTTCATGTAAAGAAATAGCTACAATACAACTAGAAACAAGAAAACGAGAAAAATGATGTATGCTTCGGAATGGCGTGGTTCCTTGTTTATACAGGAAATGACCAAGGCGTACGTTGAATGCCCTGCAGTGTTGCAGTGGGCAACTTTTACAATTTTACAGCGTACAACAGAAGCGCTGTAATATAATGTGTAAAAGAGAGATGGCAGCACTAACTCACATCGAGAAGTTACTGCTCTCCGGAGATTAAAAGATTCCCTTTCCGAGTTAAAAACAAAAATGAATTGAATTACATTGGGAGAAATAAAGCCTTTAACATTACAACTCTGCTGGAAAAAAAAAGCTGAAATTGTAATAGGATGTAAGTTAGTATTCACTGACCCCTGGTTTTACTGTCTCAATGCTTCGAAAATTAGCATATTAACATTTGAAACATGTATTTCCGTTGTATTAATGTGATACCTGAAACCTTCACGTAGCCACAAATGCGGAAATCAGCCAGTGTTGCCAACTGTTAGACCGTGCTTTGCCATGCCCTCATATTCAGAACAGTTGCTTCATTTTATTTTCATAGATGATGTTTAAGGTGAGATTTATAACTCCGTACCATCTCATTCATGGTGGTAGGTGATAGTCGTATGAATTCAGTCACATGACATAAATTTTATAGAATTCGATTTTATTTTTGATTCGATCAAAGTGTCTGTTGACAGACAAAACCGAATACGTTTGGTTGGTAGTATAACACCCCTAATATCAAAGCCCGCCGTTTCCCACGGCCCTCTCACACTGCACCCGTCTTCTGTCCTTACAAACTATTTCACTTGAGTCCGTTTTAATATTATCGTTTATTACAAGCCTTGGTCTCGTAATGGGTGTCTTCTCAGCAGTATCTCTCTGACATCTAATACGCAAATCACCTTTTCCATACCCCGTTGTATCTGATCGTACTTTTACCTAAGTTTAATATTATTTTTCTATTTTAATAATATCCTCAACACTACGCCTGTCTTCCAAGCCGTCTTTTCATTTTTGACTTTCCGTCATTTTTGATATCTCCCATATCTGCCGCACTGTTTTTTGCGCCTTGAGTTTGATATGACGGGGCGGCCGGGGCTTAATGCTGACCACTCACCCCCATCTAGTGCCTAGGTCAAGAATGTGTAGGAGCTATACCGCCTTTCCCCCCAAGCGCCTACATGGCGTGTATTGGGACTGCTTTACTTTTGTACTTTTACTATACATTGTATAACGTTTAATTACATTTCTGATGTCCTGTCATTATATATTTCTTAGGTACAAATGTTCCTCACTTTGCCATTGAAAAAGATCAGCTTATGAACGTATAAATGGTATTTTTAGCATTCTCCAGGAACGCCGACTACCACGCAAATCAGAATACAGCTGTATTCGTAAATAACAATCTTAACTAAAAAATATTGACTGTTTTATTGCAAGAAAGTTCCTTAATACACTTATTTGCACTTAAAGGCGAAAGTCTACTTCTGAACTTGATCACCAGGTTGGCTCTAGCTGTACAGTAATTAGACTGAACCCCGGACAAATATCACAATACAAAAACTCATGGGATGCTAATGTACATAGCACAAGTTTAAAGGTAAGTTCTAGCACGCCTCTTTTGTCCGCGTCCTGTGACATACGCTGGCTCATTTGCTTTGGTACGCCGCGTTGTTTTTATTACGGTGGGCACACTGACTTTCATTAAAATGCAATCAGATAGAGTATGAAGCTGGAAGAACTGCGACCGTCTCGTCTCTCTGCAACAAGGGGATAAGTCCCTCACTTCCTTCCTGCCTCCTAGCAGAAGTTTGTTGCTACAGTAGTACGTCTCACGTGCACGTTGAATTCATTGGCACTGGTTTTACTCGGTGGTTCTGCTTCATTATCAGGGTATTTGTTTGTTTGTACGTTTGGAAATAATGGGTTTTTTCCCCTGATTGGTTAATGGTACTCGAGAGCAAAACTATGACAATGAACGAAGGCAGAATAATTTCTATAACGAGCAGTTTCATAATTTACGCATTATATTGTTAGTGCATTGCAACGTCTAACAACAGTCAAGGTCAGCGTTCAGATTAACGTGAATCTCTTTCTTCCGATTTGGTCGAATGAGATGGACAGAAAATCTGTGCATATTTCTAACTTTTACGCCTCAACTGTGATTCTTAACCATCCTGACATTTGACCTGAACCCTGGTTCAAATTCTCAGCTCTGAGGATGTCTACACAGACTCAGGGTTTTCGCAGTTTTTCACAGTTCCTCCAGGCAAATATTGGGATAATACTTTGAATTAAGGAACTAACGCTTTCTTCCATCTCCTTTTGAAGTCATTATTCACTAATCAACCTGTTATTAGACGCTAAAGAATTTAAGCAGCTAAATTCGTCGTTAAAAATAAGTTGACTTGCGCTACTCGGTCAACGTTAGTTGTGTGGTTGTGTCAAGAAAAGTTAACTCACGTAATATTTGTACTGAATAACGTGTGTTGTTTCCATGGAAACACTTGCATCAGTCTGTACACTCGCTCCAAGCCCACCCATTCACGCATTCTTCCCTTTAAACGAACCAACCTACGTACTTAACCATGTTCATCTGGTCAGTTCACTTCAGTGACCTTCCAATTAATTCAGCGGGTTGCCATCTGTCGATTGCAGTGATTTCAATTAATGCCAGGTCCTCAGCAAGCACTGTTTCCCCGTGGGATTAGTCCTGAGGGCCTCCTATTCCTGCCTCTTCCATTATTTATACTATTTCTTCACAGATGTCGTAAGTATTTACTAAAGTTTCAGTGCTGTTACAGAATCAGTTCTTTTATCGTGTAACTTCAGAATAATTCACTGAAATTCCCTAGAAATAATGGAGGTCGTAGAATTAGAAATTCATTATTTTTCACTATTTTTGTTACAAATATCTTTAGTTCAGAAAAATGTTCAGGGAGATATTTCAAAGTAAGGGGAATTAGGAAAGAAGACTGGAGAAAATTACGTATAGAAATGAGAATTGCATACAGAATTTTAGTTGGAAAACCTGAAGAAAATAGACAACTTGAGCGACCTAGATGTAGTTTGGAGGATAATATTAAAGTATATCTTAAGGAAATAAGATGCAAAGGAGGGGAATTGACTTTGCTGTTTCAACATAAGATGTACTAATGAGTGTTCGTTAACTCAATTATTCTGATTCTATAAAAATTGATTGCTTATAAACTATGAGGTTTCTAAGGAGAGCACTGATCACAGTTTTATATCTGTTCTGCGTGTGCACTTCTCCTGAGTGAATTTCATTCTTTATTTCTTCTGCATGGTTCGAGGATAATATCAGTATTGATCTTGGGGAGGTATCATGTGAGGTTCTGGATTGGATTAATCTAGCTCAGTGCATGTTTCGCCAGTGGATTCTTGTGAACACGATAACAAACTTTCTTGTTCCATGAAAGTTAGGAAGGATCTTGGATAGCCGAGCGACCATAATTTTCTTAAAGACGGAAACTGGTCAAATGAGTTCATCTCCAGAAATTCTGAGATTCATTTGTTTTCTGTGTTGTCTATGAATATCACTTTATTGTGTGTTTCTGAGTTCAAATTTTACTACGCAAAAGATTGCATAAAAACTTTCAATTCTGTGATGGGGTTAATGTGTTGAGTCTCACACTGTACCAGGGAACTGCTCAGTCATTCACTACAATAATTCTCGACAGGAACCTGTAAGATTTCTTTTGAAAGCTGAGCCGTCGTCTCACTAAGCTTTGAACCTGTCTTGCTTGCATGTTGAGTGTCGACTGCATGCAGAAATAAGCCAGTAAAAATTCATCAAGTTTTCAGTGGGGAGAGTGTCTGTTTATCAGTGATGTTGTGTGTGGTCCCTGAATAGTCAGACCAGGACGTATAGGGCAAGTAAACTGGCTACTTGTTTCAGTGTTTATGCTCTTGAGCCGAGTTTCCCGAGTGCCAGTTTTCACCTGTAATTTTCGTTTATTTTAATGTCAGAGAATTTTTTAAATTTCCCCTGTTTGCATTATTGAACAAAACGTATAACTCTCACTTTCCATCCATATCATTTGTTTCATATTTTCAAATTTGTTTTATTCTACTCTTCGTTCGTATATTATTCCATAATTGTAATTATTAATTATTTAATATATTATCGATATGACGTAATTTCTTTGCTAGTTTTATATATTTTCTGTTACTTTAAATTTACATTTATTTGTCGACAGTGGTCTTTTGGGTTCTCACGCCATATAGCCTTGTAAACGGTTATCAAAGTTTCTAAAGAACGTATCGCCTCCA